CCCAGAGAGTATCGTACATATCGGGAGTATCCTTCTTCAACCACTCTAATTGCAGGTTCGAGGGAAAATACTCCTGGTACAGACAATCCCCCATTGGAAGACCGGAAACTTAGTGCATCTCATGCAGAGCCAACCCTAACTCTCCACCGCAAGTCAGAAACGTGTTACTATCGGGAACATATGTTTCTAACAGTGCTAAGAAGTGGCGACAGCTGACCGGAAATCCATACATAGTGGCTCGTATAGGTGCGTATAGACCGCTGCTTTTCAGATCATTCTCCCAACGTCCCAAGACGTAACCGGTCATACGTGTCCACCATCCCTTGGGTTGCGAGTAAGCCCAACCAAAACACCTGAACTCTGGTTGAGGTAATTTTCTCCCAAGTTCAGCCAGACGGTTCTTCACAGTAGGAGCAGCTGCTGATACCTCGCCTGGGGGTGCAGTATCAAGACCCAGAATCCCCGGTCGAAGACCGCGAATATAATGATGCCTATTAGAGCCTGGAGTCTTATGATGGGAAATATATCCACAGTGAACTCGATCGCTATCCTCTGTGAGATTCCAGGACATCCGACGTTCTACAGCCTACCCCTCCAAATGAGTAAAGGAATGCTGACGGGGGATGGAGGGAATATAAAGAAGAGCTCCATCATCATTATTCAGCCAATGCTCGTCTTCAAAAGTCAACCTGGCCGGGTCCTCAACGGAGTCTCCAAACAAATAACTAGGCCTCTCTAAAGCCTGAGTAGAAATAGAGTCTGCTGTGAAAGGAGCATCCGTGATCAGCTGGCGTAAGGAACGATGTCCCCCGTCTCGTATCAAATGGCAGGATTCATCAGAACGATTTCCATCAAATTGAGGAAGCAGACCAATAGCCTGCCTGATGGCTATAGAAGAGAAAACCTCCCCACTACAACCAGTGACAGCATGAGGAGGAAGACTGCCCGCTGGAAACTCGACTGCAGCAAAACAAGGGGTAAAAGTCAGAAAACTATCCATAAATTGTACAAGGGTTAAATCCATCTCACAAGAGAGCGAGATAAGATTATCCACAGAGCAATTGGAGAGACGATTTTAAGTGTCTTACACTGAAAGAACGGTATGCATCATCACGTAGACAACGTGGTGACATACACCGACCTACAAGGTATAAGACGACACAGAATCGCCCCAATATGCCGGAAGACTTGAATTGGCCAAGCAAAGCAAGTCCGAAAACCTCGACCCCCGCGAAGGAGGATGTCGGTTCTTCCCGAATGACCCGCGAAGGGGCCAAACGAGGGTATACTGGAACCACGAATTTCCTGAAACCTCGATCCCCGCGAAGGAGGATGTCGGTTCTTCCCGAATGACCCGCGAAGGGATCAATCGGGGATATATAAGGTATAAATGCTCACCCCCGAAAGAGGACGCCGCTGGAGGGGACGCCGCGGGAACTTCTCTCTCGTTATGCTGCGAAAGAGAGCGACTCCTATGAAGTCGACGTCGATGCGGAGACATGGAGAATCTGCAATAAAAAAATCAATCGGGTCAAGTACAATCATAAATCTGCACGCCTGAAATTTAAAAGGAAAATTAAGAACTTTAACTAAAATCCTATAAAATAAATAGGGTTTTCTGGTTAAGGTCTAATTAAACCTACGAATTTCGTGCATGCAAAACAGTGAGCTCATATTGTAGTGTAAGCCCTCATAATAAATTTTGGTGAAATACCCAAAATACCCCTCGTGTTCAAGGCTAAATTCTAGTCAAGGACACGCTCGAATTGGATCATGATCATCATATTTGTTCATCTAACACCCCCAATATCCCACAATTTTGGTTAATTTTACAAATAAACCCTTTTGTAAAATTTAGCCAATTTTGCAAATAGACCCCTCCATAAATTTTGGTTTAGTTTTCGCATACCTTTCTCAAAACTTTGGTCATGGGTTTGTGGTCTAAACTTTTGGAATTTCAGCCCTAAAATTTTAGACCTTTTGCAAATAAACCCCTCTACATTTTTTGGGTTGATTTTTGCAAATAAACCCCTCAAACAATATTGATTCTTTGCATGCAAACACCCCTTAAAGTTGTGGCCAAATGGGTATAAAATCCAAGCCTCAAAATTTCAGTCCTATTTTGCATAAAGGCCCCTATAAATTTCAGCCTTATTTTGCATAAAAACCCCTCAAAATTTCAGCTATTTTCAAAACCCATCTTCAAGATTTATTCTTTTTCACAATACCTAATTCATGAGGGCAAAAAGCCACATTCTTTGCATACAAATTCATGAATTCTTGATTACATACCCACACTACAAGAATAAAGTTTCAATCCTTCTTACAAAATCTATAGATTCTTGAATCAAAAGCAAGCATACAAAGAGGATTCTTGGAGAGAAGCTTACCCAAATCAAGAGCTTGAAAACCCAATTCAAAGTCCGAGTCTTGAACTTGAAGATGCAACAAACCCTAGCTTTGAGAGGGGAAAATTTTCGGCCAATGAAGAAGATAAAAATCCGAATTTCTTTTGAGAGGTTTAGGGTTTTAAAGAGCAAGAGTTTGAAGGGTTTTAGAACTCTTGAAGAGAAGAAGTTATGGGTTTGGAAGAAGAGTTTGGGTAAGATGAAGAAGATGTTTAGGGGGAAAAGTAGTCTATTTGAAATTTTGGAAAGAGGGGGAAAACAAAAAAGGAAACAAACAAAAAAAAAAGAAAGAAAGAAGGGGGGGATGTCTCGGTTTTTGAACCGAGACACCCTAGGGTGTCTCGGCCAAAACCGAGACACCCCTAGGTGTCTCGGCCAAAACCAAGACACCCCTAGGTGTCTCGGCCTTGGCCGAGACACCCAAGGGTGTCTCGGCCAAGGTTGAGACACCCACGGGTGTCTCGGTCTTCGGTTGGTCCCCATATGCCTATAAATGCCCTTTTCAAGCCCAAATTCGCCCATTTTTCACCGGTTGTTGGGTGTTTCGACAAAATCCACACTAATCAACACCGGACGATTCAAAACCCTTGGGTCAACGCCGGTCAACGCGTAACCCTAGGTCAATGCCAGTCAACGCATTGCGATCGAAAAGTCAATATATGACGACCGAAACCCTAAGGTCAACGCCGGTCAACGCGTAACCCTAGGTCAACGCCAGTCAACTCGTTGCGATCGAAAGGTCAATGTATGACGACCGAAATCCTAAGGTCAACGCCGGTCAACGCGTAACCCTAGGTCAACGCCAGTCAACGCGTTGCGATCGAAAAGTCAATATATGACGACCGAAACCCTAAGGTCAACGCCGGTCAACGCGTTGCGATCGAAAGGTCAATGTATGATGACCGAAACCCTAAGGTCAACGCATAACCCTAGGTCAACGCCAGTCAACGCATTGCGATCAAAAAGTCAACTCGACGACGCGAGCCAAACTTAACTCATCAGTTTTAGATTTGAGACTTCGACGACGGCCATCCGATAAACACAGCGCCGGAGGAACTTCAGCTATTCGTCAAATCATCGAATAGACTGAAAATCGAAGGAGTCAAGAATTGAAGCTAACTACAGGTCCTTTATACCGATCGAAGGCTGGACCAATCACATCCAAAGTATTCCAGCCTCTTCTATAAAAGAAACGAGTCTGGAACGCTTTGGAGGGGGTATCTGTAGGCATCGAAAATTACCTATAGGTCTCCACAAACAGCTCAGCGTTAAGAAAAGACAACGAACATCACTATTCAAGTCACAGAAGTTTGATTGGCGTCAGTAAACGTTTGAAGTGAATCGACGAACTACGTGAACTAACAGAATTTTGGAATAACAAGAGAACGAACTGATCGGGCACCTCGTGTCATTCACAAACGGCGAAATACCCGTAGTGTCTCATTTATTCCACAAATGATCTAATCATTGGAGCTTATAGAACTCCTCGTCGGCTTTCCAACGTACTTTGAATCACTCAAAACCGAGTTCGGACGAAGAAGTTACGGCGGAAACGAACAAGTGTACGTAACACGACGTCTCAGCCTGAATGAGACACCCCGAGGTGTCTCGGCCCACCCGAGACACCCCAAGGTGTCTCGGCCCAGTTTGAGACACCCTGAGGTGTCTCCAACTCAGAAATGGCCTTTTAGGCGGTTTTAACCGCCCGGACGTCCGTAAAGCCTATAAATAGAGCCCCCGGGTCCTCATTTTTTCGGATCTGGTTTTTTGGAGAATTGACGAAGCCCTGTCGGATTGAAGATTGATCCAGTTCATCAACAGTAGAGAGAAAGCTTCTTCAGATCTGCACCGCCCGCATCCGATCCTTAGAATTATCCCGTTGTGATAATTCTAAGAAGAGCAATTATCTCGCCGTTGCCGAGATAAGCGCTTCTGCTTCTAGATTCCTTCGCGAATCGACGGAGTTCTGGATCTGATCTGATTGTCAGGTAGTCCACGGATATCGACGTCCCCGTCACAGGCTAAAGACCCACGCAAGCAAGAGACGACGAACGAATCTTGCGTTATTTTTGAAAAGTTGTAATCTTTCATTCTTTATTTTGAATACTTTGAATTCTTTGTAAGCACTCTATATTATAATGAATTCGACAATGAAGGCAACTTTTTTCGAAAACACTCGCAAAACTCTTGTCAACCCCGAACATTTCTCAACCTATCCCCTTACGGCCGTTAGTCAACCGAAACATTTGTGCTAGAAGTAGAATACATGTAATTTATAAATAAATAAATGTTATCTGAGAGGGGGGAAAAACATAAGATTTAGAGAAGGGTTACTTTGACTGTAAATGGCAATATTTAATATTTGTTCTCTCAAAAACATTTTAGTTACATTCAAATTCCAGGTAGGGGGCTCTGAAGAGAAAATATTAAAAGTTCAGCGGTGTTTTGTGAGACACCCAAAAGCTCAGGGCCTTAAGTGAGATGAGCAAAGTTCAAGAGGGTACTTGTGGAACACCATCTAAAGTTAGGGGGTCTATATGAAACTAACCCTAAAATGAACGCAGCGTTCGGTGGGAAGCTTTCAATTGAACCCGCTTTCCCCGCGGGAGCCCCCGCCGCCCGCCAAAATTTTCATTGCCTAAAAATACGCTGGGAAAATCTTAAAGAATGTTGAGGAAACAGAGAATCCCCAATCAGAAATGGGCTTCGCCGACGAAGAAGGCGACGACGACGAAATCGATCGGATCTCCTCTAACTCGGACGAATCCAACGACGACGGCGACGGCGATTACAACGGCGAAGAGGTCGATGACGGATCCCTTAAGTCACAGTCGTCCGATGAGGACAGGAAGTCTCAGAACGTCGATGCGCTAGTCAGGTGCTCCAATTTCTTGATTCTTGATAGATGATGCTTCACTTGGTTTAGGATTTAGGGTTTAGGGTTTTGTCTGAAGGAAAGTTGTAATTTGATTTGGGGAAAATATGAGTTCGGAAACGTTAAACCCTAGATGGTTATTTTGACTGCATCTTTACATGGTGACTAATGACTAATCTAACATATGTAGATGATCAGTTATTGGATATAAATATAGATGATCAGTTATTGGATATATATATTATTAAACCCTTTTCTTTATCTGCCCATACTGTAATGGGAAATATGGGATCTTTTTTTGGTTTAATATGCTGTGAAATCGTTGATTTAGGGATTAGGAGTTTATGAGCGAGCATATGTTGTAATATTTGGCAGTCCATCTTTTTCTTTATTTTGAAGGGTATATTGCAGACCAACCGCCTCATCTATACATTTAGTACCATTTATCAACCCGACTATTTATTTAACACTCTGAGATTTTTTTTGGGAGGTCAACTGCAGTTTATTTTTATAATAAAAAAAATCAATCAAGGGGGTCTTACGTACTAAGAAAATAATTGAAGAGCGATAAGTGCTACTAAAGGATTAGATGAGGGGTTATCTGCGATAACCTTCTATGGTATATAAATTTGACAATTGTGAGAGCTTGTCGTTGTGAAGAAATGGACCTTTTAGGTAGTGGATAAATTTAAGTCTTTGTGACACGTGGGTGCAGTCTGGATGAGTTGGGAACCATACAGATGAAACCTTAATCATAAATTAGAAGAAAAAATTGGACTGGCACCAATAGGAATTAAGGTTATGTAATCTGATATTGATACTCATATTAAATATATTCACAATGATGAAATTCTTCGTTGCATATAAAATTATGCAAATCTGCGATGCAGAATAACTTTTGCTTTATAATCTGTTTTATACAAGGAATGAAAGTCTATTGACTTTCGATATAGTTTTCTATTTACATAAAAATCAAAAAAGTTGCCCAAGGAACCGCCATTTTTGGCAACTTCCTTCGACAAGAAATTATTTCATTGTGATCGATTATAGTTTGTTCCTATCATCCTCTCATCAGGTAATAATAAATCGTTTCCGATTTTTATCCCTTGGTACTATTTCATTAATGCCATGTATACATGAAGAATGGAAATTAACAAGGTTAGGGCCCATTTTCATTCTGTAGGTGCTTCTTTTGCTTGTCAATATTCTTTCACGGAACCACTGCCAGTTCTATGCTCTCAAATATCATCTTTTCTCAATTGATATCATTTTTTTTCATAATAGAAGATGTTTTTTTATAACACAAATCCATTTGAAACATCTCTTTTAATGTAACTGCCGAATTAAAATGTTTTCAATTTGTTAATTAATTCTACCATCTGAACTTATCTTTAATTCCAAACTTGTCTTCGATTGGGGGTAATATGAAAAACAATTGGGGTTCGTGGATGAGTATGATATTTGCTGCAAGTGTAATATAGATTGTATGCCTAACTAAAACCTCTTGATGCAAGGTACTTGCCCCACTCTAGCTGTCTCACTTGTCCTATGACACTCTAAGTGGCTTGTTGCCTAGCAAGGTTAACCAACAAGCCGTTTTTTTACTCATTTGAATGTTAGCCAAGCTGTCCCATCCTGCATCATCTTCTTTTATAGGAAAGAACAAAAAATTATATCTTATTTGTTGATATGACGTGAAAACACAAGCAAAATAATTTTTTGAGGCTTAGGCACTTGCTGATAAGACAACAAAAAGAAATGCCTGTTGCCAAAACACCTTGCCGCTGCGTCAAAAATCTAAAGTTGTGGTGAACGTTGAGGATTATAGTTTTATATTTTAACATGCCCCGCAAGTTGAGAACCCTTTATGGGCAAAAACCTGGACTCACATAGTGGTGTCAAAATTTTAAAATCTGCTGAGAAATTCATGACCATCGATACTTTAATCTAGATTGTTCTGCTACGATATCAATGAACCCTATCGCTGCATCAAAACTCTGAAGTTGCGAGGGTTGAGGGTTATAGCTTTATATTCTAACACCAGTCACCTAGGTAAGACTCTAACACCATGCACAGAAAACTCTAAGCGAAAGCAATATTCACCCGGACAAGTGATTAACTCGTTGAAAATATCTGAGCATCTTAAATGAATCCACAACTGTAGAATTCTCTCAGGGTAAATTTCACAAAACACCCAATAAATGTGGGAGTTATTCACTAATCCCCTAATAATTTGGAAAATTTTACTTAACCCCAATAAGTTTGGTAAGTCTCGGAAACCACCATAATGTTTCAAGTTATCGTACTTAACCCCCAAATGGCGTTACCGTATAATATTTCATGGACCAAAAATCCCCGAATAAATTTTATCACCAAACCCAATATGGTTTAAGTTTTCTCACTTATACCTCCAAATTTGAAACTATGTTTTTTTTTCTCACATAATTTGCATATTTACCCCCTAAATCTAGATATTTGATAATTTAATCCTGAAATCTCCCAAATTAGATAAAAGGGATATTTGCATATTACTACCCAAATTTACTATATTTGCAAAATTTCCCCATGAAATCTTGATGTTTGCAGATATAGCCTCCGATTTCTTCCATTAGAATTTATTACCCGTTACCAGTGCTCTTTTTTGGGTTTTTGCATATATATACCCCTTAAAATTACTATATTTGCAAATTTATCCTAAAATCTTCATATTTGCAGATATATCATTTAAGTCTTTGTCAATAGGTTTACATATCCCCTATCGGAGTAATTCATATGAGAAAGAACCTAAAGTTGAGATCTGGCATTGTGATCTCAGTGAATGGAGGGAGGAATATTTTTATTCTCAAGTGTGTAATGCTCTATGCATAACAAAGCTATTTGAGTTGTTACACTGGTATTCCTTTTACTTTCATCGCTAATGCATTTTTTTTCACTTCTTCCTATATAGACATATGAGAGTACCCAGAGACTGTTTATTATTCTGGTAGCGTAGAAGACCATGCTAACAATGAAAATACGTTGAGTTCAAGATAATTTGTGATGAAGTTACCAGTTGCAGATGAAATAATAGTGTTCTTCCTATTTTGTAATCCATGTCATATATTTCGTTATAGCCCATTATGTGCACTCAAAATTATGTAGAAATTTGTTGAGTACAACTACATATGTTACTTCTGTTTTTCTTGCCCATAATTGGCAGCTTCACATGGGATTTTACAAGAATATAACAGTTATGATATTCTGTTCAGCATACATTGATGACTTGTACTATAACTAGCTATATTCAGAGCCTATTGTATCTGATTGTCTTCATTTTATATTCTCCATTTTCCCTTCTCAAGTAAGCATGTTCATTAAATTTCAGTTTATACTTCAATTGTGTTTTGTTTCTTCCTTCACATGACAGAGGAAACCTTGTAGTAAAGAGGCAGCCTCTTATTCCTCGAGTTCTCACAGTTGGTGATGGGGCATTAGTGGCTAGAAAACCCTTTAAGCCTCCCTGTTCAAACGGATATAAAGATTGTAAGGAGCTGACTCGTCGGCTCTGGACACGGAAAAGATTTGTCCCATGGGGTTCTTCAAGGCCTGCATTAGTCGCTATAAATAATCTCTTAACTATTTCATCTGCTTCTGAGAATGGTGCCTCAGAAACAGATCAGAGTTTGCCACCTGGTATTGAGCCTTTGATTCTTTGGCAACATGATGGTTCAGATGAGGGAGCTGACCATCTTACCCAGATTGAGGTAGACCGGTTGCTTGTTCAGTATCTTCGACCTCATCAAAGGTATTGTGCTTGCTTCAGTAGGAACTACAACTTTTATTAGTGTTTATTTGCAAAAAGATTTTGTCTTCGTGCTCATTCAAAGAAGCGTATTCCATTAGTGATGATTATGACTTAGTTAAACCATAACTTTTTTTTTTCTATTAAGTTCCTTTTAAATTTCCATTGGTAACTTAAAGTGAAATTTCAAGCAATACTCAAATTACATGCAGGACAATAATCTTGATAGTCATCCCTTAGTTTACTGTCTATTAAACAGGGGCAACTTCTGAAAAAATGTGCTTGGATGTATATGTAGGCATATTTATCCAATTTTTATTCAATCACATAAGTTCCATGTGGTTGTAGGGAAGGCGTTCAGTTTATGTTCGATTGTGTTTCGGGGTTGTCTAGCGCTGATGGTATTTCGGGATGCATTCTGGCAGATGATATGGGGTAACTACTGAAGTTTTATCTTTTTCAGAATATTTTAGATGCTTATTTATGTTTGTGATGTGGTTTTAATGACTTGGCATTGGTGCTTTGATTTTTCTGTACCTTTGCAGACTGGGTAAGACTCTCCAATCAATTACATTGCTTTATACTCTTCTTCATCAGGGCTTTGATGGGAAACCTATGGTTAAAAGGGCTTTGATTGTTACTCCTACTAGCCTTGTCAGCAACTGGGAGTCTGAGATTAATAAGTGGGTTGTAGGAAGAGTTAAGCTACTTTCTCTATGTGAGAGCACACGAGCAGATGTTATCTCTGGAATTGACAGTTTCTTGAGACCTTGCAGTCTTCTTCAGGTCTTTTTTTTTCTTTTTGTTTTACAATGAATTAATCTTCTTGTAAGAAAATCAGTTTGACATTGTCTAGCTGGGCTTTGCATTTACGCTACATCATGTTTTTATTTTTGTTTTTTGAAATGTGTCTATTAGGTTCTTATCATATCATACGAAACGTTTCGCATGCATTCGTCAAAGTTTGAGAAGAATGGATGCTGTGATCTCCTGATATGTGATGAGGCTCACAGGCTGAAAAATGATCAGACGCTGACAAATAGGGTATGCAGTACTTAGTTGACTTATTTTGCATGGTTTATTACTACTATATGTTAGTATCTGCTCCAGCTGGAAGCTTTACTTCATTATAATAAACTAGTGTGCACCCCATGCAAAGCACGGCCCCCTATTTTTTTAACTATTGCATTTTGAACTTACCTCCCTCTAAGTTTTAATACATTTAATTTGATTATTGTATGCTTAAAATTAGAAATTATATCTACGCATCTATACTTAAAGGAGGATCCAAGTATTAATACATTTGATTTAGAAATCATATCTACTCCTTTATACTTAGAGGATCTAAATTTTAATGCATTTGATTTGATTTACTGTTTATAATACAGTAAAATACTGTAATATAAACAGTAGCTTCAAAAAATATAGTGGAAGATTTGATTTACTGTTTACGGTACAGTAATTTGATGTATCAGACGGCCTAGGGGTTGATTTACTGTTCACAGCACAACAACTACTGTATCATTTACGGTAGCATGAATAGTGATTCTTTGGATCCTCCTATAAGTATGGAAGAGTAGATATCATAATAGAAAGCAGTTTGTAGCTACATCTATTGAAATTAGTTTTATTTAAATATTGACTTTCTTCTCAAAAGCTTATCTAAATATGTTCATCTATGACAGGCACTGGCTACTCTTCCTTGTAATCGACGCATATTGTTATCAGGAACCCCTATGCAGGCAAGTTGTTTTTACTTTCATCTTTCCTTGACATGCCTCAAACTAAAAGATCTTTTGTGGTTAACATTGTTTCCAATGTCCCAGAATGACCTCGAGGAATTCTTTGCTATGGTTAATTTCACGAATCCTGGAGTTTTGGGTGATGCAACATACTTTCGTCGATATTATGAAGTAAGTTAACTGCTAATGTTCCAGATTTCTGAGTTTGGAATTTCTGTAGCATTGTTACTGTACTAGCTGTCTTAGAACTCGAGCATCTCTGTTTGATCCTTGTTTATTTATTGTGTTTCTTTTGAACTTAGTTCCTAAGTGGCATAGACAGGGTGGCCTATCTTTATGCATAGGGTGTCTTTCTGTTTCTCTTTTCAAAGTTGCAGATGTTTTTGTGGTCGAGTTAGTTCATCCTACCAAGCATTTCAAATTTTCAATTGGTACTTTTGGATCTGACAAACCCGGGCCGTGATTTCCATAATGTCTGAGAAGTGTTGTCTACTTTGCATAATCAAATGTTAAGCGTGTAAACATGTGGACATGAGGATGATCCTTATTGGTAAACAATCTCAACAAGCGTAATAAATTCTAGTTGCTTATGCTGTACCATACAAAAATTCATCAAACCAAGGGGTGGCTACCTGTATTCTGCAAAAGCCACTTGAAGGTGAACACAAGTAGACATCTCAACATTTTGAAGGGAACTATGCGAGGGATATTAAAGCATGACAGGGTGAGGTATTCACAATTTAAAATCAAATGTTCCCAGAGTCATCATATTTTAGCCTGGTCTTTATTTTTAAAGTAACCATATTAAGAGCATGTTTGGAAATAGGGCAAAGTGGCATATAAGCCACTTTTACTTTTGTGGCTTATTAGTCACTGAAATATGTTTGGCAAAAACTTTTTTTGGCTTATAAGCCCAAAAAATATAAGTTGTGTTAACCCAGCTTATTTTTTGGTGGCTTATAAGCCACATAGTTTGACCAAATAAAAGGCCACTACACCCCTTAACATTTAAAAAAATTCAAAAGCTCTATTCTCTATCTCCAACACTTTTTTGGTCATTTTGACAACAAAGATGGATTATAAGTCGCTCATTTGCTAAACATTCTACTATTAGAAATGGATTATTATCCATTAAGTATAACAAACACTTTGGATTATATTTAATTGAATTATAAGCTAAATGGATTATAATCTAAAGTTGCCAAACATGGCCTAAAACTTCTCCGAACTGTAAGTCACAATTGAAACCGTCATAGCTACTTACAGTTAATTTAGTTTTTACATTCCATCAAACCTACTGAGACAACGTACAGTTGATAGCTAACTTGTCCCTAGCATGTTTACACAAAAAAAAACACTGCAAAAGTTTTGTTAACTTTAAGGTAATTACAGAACTATATAGACCAAAACCATGGGTTATCTTTTTCAGGCTAACTATATGAAATTGGTCTTATGAACTTTACACTAGGTATTTTGTGTCCCCCGTTACAGAAACTTGTAACCCAACTTTTCCCAAGAAATAGTAAGAATTGTTTCTATTGCCTGTCATATTTGTTCACTGCAAAGTTACTTTCTTTTAATCTTCATATTATTTTTTTGGAATAAGCTGAACTTATTCCTAGATCCTATATACGCCTTGAAATTATCTAAGTTTGTGATTTGGGGACTTAAAATCTTTGGGATATGGAATGATCTGGATGTGAAACTTTGAATGGAACTTCTAGCTAGCAACCAATTTTAAGCGGTTCGCCTCCTCCAGCTTTCATCCTAAATTGAATTTCAGAGTAGTCTCATATTAAAGCTGTCAACCTATCAGATCAGCTGCTGTAGGCTGCTAGCTACGTTTATGTCTAAGTCCATATTATCTGCTTCTTTAAATATACAAAAAATGACAGCCATGATTATTCAAATCCCAAGCTGTAGATTTTTGTTTCTTGCTAATTTCTTTATGCTTGATTTTGCGACTCTTGTTGTTGGCTTAATTTCTAATTTGAGGATATTTCATGTCTACTGGTCTATCTGGCATAAATCTCGTGGTTGATGCAGCTTGAATTATTATGTCAAAAAGTGCTCAAAACTGACCCTATAGTTTGTTATACAACATAACATATGTATATATGTATTTATGTGTGCACGCGTAGTTTGGAGCTGCATCCTTCCTATTAGAATTTGGTGTTATAACATCCATTTTGTAATCCATTCAGTTAAAAGTTAGTTTGCATTATTTTAAGTAAATATAAATCAAAATTCTCTTTTTTTTATTTTGGTGCACATGCATCAAATAATGATACGTGTGTATCTTCTTCTCCGCTTCGGGAGCTTAGCGATCCTCATAGAAGCTTGATGACAGACGATTCTCATGGTATCTTCAGAATAGAGACGTGGATGAAGCCGTTGGTGGCGGCGAAAGAAGCCCAAAGCAAGAAGACAACAAAATCAGGGAATTGGCGCTCAGGCTCTAGCCGGTTGACCGGACCAAGCTGGTCGGTCGACCGGATTCGTGCACACTAAAGGCTGAGGAATGAATCCTATGGCCGGTCGACCGCGACACACTGGTCGGTCGATCAAATGTGGTTCTGCCTGCAGGGTTTGAAACCAACATGTGTGTCGGTCGACCGCGACATGTGTGCCGGTCGATCGGGACTCTGTTTTGAGACGAATCCTGATTGTATTTGGTTTGGTTATTTACAAGTTTGCTATCCTTGTTGTATACGTTATAGATAGAGATTGTTTGGGGTTTCTAAACATCAGTGGTTGATCAGAGAAGACCAGTTTTGATCAGATTGAAGATTCTAATCAAGAGATTAGGGTTTTAGAGAGAATAGAGAGTTTGTTCTTTGTTCTAGTGAGATTGTGAGAGAGATTTGAAATATTTCATTACTCATAATCTAGAGAAAGTATTTTCCTTCGCCAATTGAATTGTTTTGTGTGTTTGTTCTTCTTCTTCTAAAAAAATCACATTTGATAATTCCGCGATCAAATGTGCTCGCACGGCGACTCGTATCAAGTTGGTATCAGAGCAAATCAGATCCTATGAAGGGGCAATCCTGTATATGGTCCTTACTCGATCGCAATATAAGAAGCTAGGCGAGATCCTTATTTCTTTGAAAGAGGTCCAGAAATTAAGGAAGAAGATGACTGAAAGTGTAAACTCATCGAGACTTGATGCATTGGAGAAATAGATCGAGACGATATGATCGACTCTCACACAAATCGTCGATCTCATCCATGAAGGGGACAAAAAAGATGAATCTTCTTCGAAATTTAAGAACCCTGTGGAGTCCGATAGAGAGTGTGAATTCTGATTCTGACGAGGGGACAGAGATCATCAAGACTGTTCCGCACCAAGGGGATAAGGGTCATTACCAAAATCTGAAGATTGATTTCAGAGTAGAGATTCTCGTTTATGATGTGAGTGTGAACGTCGAAAGGCTTGATGATGGGATCGAGCGTATATAGACTTATTTTACTCTTTATGGCTACTCGTCAAAAGAGAAGATCATTTTTGCGACATTAAAGCTTTCAGGGCACGCGTTGACGTGGTGAAAATCTTATTATAAGCAGAAGAAGAAGACGGTGTCGTGGAACAAGTTCAAGGAGCTACTGCGAAAGCAATTCTACCCGATGAGACTCCTTAAAAAACTTTGGTACAAGTGGTACGGCTTGCGCCAAAGAGTCAATCAAACCGTTCAAGAATACACGAGTGAGTTTCAGCAACAAGCGATTGTCCTTAATATTGCGACGGAGGAGTACTCGGTCTTTATGAAGTATATAGCTGGATTGAGCGATTACATCCGGAAGGAGATGAAGTTATTCACGGTCGAATCCATTGCAGAAGCGAGCGTGAAGACTATTGCCATTGAGAAAAAGCAAAAGAAGAGCAACGAGTCCAAAGGAGAGGCTAAACAAGCTGGAGGCGAGTCTAGTGGTTCTCAATCTAAGGAGGAAAAAAAGAAGGATGATCCAGGAAAAGCAGGGCTGATTTGTAGTCATTATGAGAAGACATGATACGTAGCTGATCGGTGTTGGGAGAAGTATCATCAACTCAAACCAAGAGGGTTGAAGGAGGAGAAAAAGACATGATAGTTCAAGTTTCGAAAGAAGTTCTGGGGATGATAGAGCCCAACAACAATCTCAACCTTATGACGAGGAAGCATGCCACGAAAGAGGATGATGACCCTAGAGAACAGCTCTTTGTTCTTAAGTTGCAGGTGAAGACCGGTTTGATTGATGCCATAGTTGATCCAGGCAGTGAGAAGAATTTGATATCCGAGGCCTTGGTTCAGAAGCTGGTCTGAAGATGGTTAAGCAACCGAAGCCCTATCCATTGGGGTGGATTCAGAAGGAGATGAGACTGAGTGTAGTTGATCAATGCACTTTCAGATTTGCACTCTACAAGTCGTATATTGACGATGTCACATGCGACGTAGTTCTATTAGATATTTATCAGGTTATACTGGGCAATCCCTATTTGTGAGATAGATACGCGATCTGCATGAGACGGGCTCAGAAGTACACATTCATCAAAGATGGTAAAAAGTTCATATTTCGTTCGGTGTCTCTTCCGAAAGAGACAAACTTAGTGACGGTGAACCGAGCGAAGAGGCTAGTGAATGCAAGCAAGAAGTTTGTCTTGCTATGCATTAGTTCTTATGGGGAGCCACTGAAAGAGGGTTGTAAATTAGAACGGAAGGTGACTACGACGAGACGCGGGACGAATGAGTCGTTTCCAATCGGACATCAAGACCAGGTTCCTAGCAAAGCCAGGTGGTTCAGAAAAGATGGAGGAGCTAGAGAGTTTCCTCAGCTGAAGTTCTAACTTGAACGAGACTTTAAGTTTCTAAAAGAGGGAGCCATGATACGGGTGTATCTTCTTCTCTGCTTCGGAAGCTTAGCGATCCTCATGGGAACTTAAGGATAGACGATTCTCATGGTATCTTGAGAATAGAGGCGTGGATGAAGCCGTTGGTGGCGACGAAAGAAGCCAAAAGCAAGAAAAAAATTCAGGAAACTGGCGCTCAGGCTCTGGCCGGTCAACCGGACCAACAAGCTGGTCGGTCGACCAGATTCGTGCATTTTACAGGGTGAGGAATGAGTCCTCTGGCCGGTCAACCGCGACACACTGGTCAATCGACCGGACGTGGTTCTGCCTGCAAACCAACCCTCTGGCCGGTCGACCGCGACTTGTGTGTCGGTCGACCGGATTGGGTTTTCTGGGTTTTCCTGGGCCGATTGGGACTCTGTTTTGAGACGAATCCTGATTGTATTTGGCTTGATTATTTACAAGTTTGCCATCCATGTTGTGTACTCTATAAATAGAGATTGTTTGGGGTTTCTAAACATCAGTTGTTAATCAGATAAGATCAATTTTGATCAGATTGAGATTCTAATTAAGAGATTAGAGTTTTAGAGAGAATAGAGAGTTTGTTCTTTGTTCTAATGAGATTGTGAGAGAGAGAGATTTAAAATCTTTTATTACTCATAATCTAAAGAAGATATTTTACTTCGCCAATTTAATTGTTTTGTGTGTTTGTTGTTGTTCTTCTAAAAAAACCACCTTTGATAATTCCGCGATGAAAGATGCTCGCACGGCGACTCGTATCAAGTAACAACAAACGAACAATCACAAATGTTTTTTCCCACTTATGTATGCACTTTACCGCATAGACTTTTTGGTCAAAAAACATTTCATCTTGATCTAGGCACTTAAAATCGTCAAAAACTATTTAGGTTTAAAATATGGACACCTTCATACTAGGAAACTTGTAATCTTCATTTTACGGTGTGATGAACGAACAAAAGAACTTTAAAAACTCAATTTCTTGTTCTGTGGCACTTTAAATAATGCAAATGTACTTTAACTGAATGGACAATTTATATGACTTGTCAAACACTAAATTTGAAAGAGAAGTATTTACTTCCAAATTCTTTCTCTACATTTCTCATGTTGTTGGAAAAGATTTTGAAACCTCATGTACTCCATATTTAACTAGATGAGAGATGTGTTAAGTCAAAATTTACGGCTAGGTAGGCACATATCTAAACAAAAGTTACATGTTCTTTCTTTTGTATATAAATATATATTATATATACAAACCATTTAAGTTTCACAAACTTACCCTTACCTTTACATCATTGCTTGAAATTTGTGCACCCGCACTAGTTACTAACTGAAAAATGTCGTCCTCCATTTCCAGCAATGCAAAGTCTAGTAGTATATGCCATTTCTACAAAGACCTATTCCACGAAGTATAAACAAGCCAAAGTTAGTCAATGCTATTTATTCTTCTCCCATAATGCTACACGAGCTGTACAAGTATGCGATGCTATTCTGAATTTATGAAAACCTTGGGTAAGTCACACAACTCGGTTACTCAACGATCTAGTAGAGTTTAAGCTTCATCAAAAATAAATTTGGCGTTCCAAGTTATGAATTTACAATCTGAAATATGGCTTAATTGCTACATTAATGGGATTTAGCATGGCTTGGAATTTCTTACCTACCTCATGTCCTGTTGAATTAGAATCCAATTATTTGTGGAAGAGAGCCAACAGCAACAATAGAAGAAAGAAAGCTTGGTACTGAGAGGTCAGCAGAGCTAAGTGCGAAAGTTAATCAGGTATGCAATTGTTTTGAAATTATGTTATACTTTTGCATATCTGTATCAACTATTCAGCTTTCCAGCACCACTTCTGTCCAGCAGTTGTATGAGATAATTAAGTTTGTTATCTTTTCTAATTTCATTTTCTATAGGATCATATCTATGGTATGAATTCCAAATGATTCAAATTAAGTGATTACTTTTAAAATTTTGTTTTCAGTTTATACTGAGGAGGACAAATGCTTTGTTATCGAATCACTTACCACCAAAGGTATGCTTCTTAATCTTTCATGTAGACTTAATCAACCTTGGTTATTGTTGCATCATTAATGATTCTAGACCTCTAATTATTGCTGACATTATCATTTCCACATTCAAAATTTTGTCAATGAATATTTATGATATCTAGAACATCTTATAAATATGGGCATAAGTGTAGAAATGAGGAACTTCTTGAAAAATATAAATTAGTAAAGAAGGATGTTTTAAGAATCACTTTAACTGTTTCTTTTTTACTATAAAGTGCAAAGATAACATGATCATGAAGGTGCTCAACACTTAGACAAGTTTAATGTGCCTTTTGATGGATATGGCGTCTAATTTAGAGCACAATAGAGAGACAACACCTGGGTTCTCTAATAGTTGTGCACAAAAAGATGTTTTCAAATGTTGAACATTAAACGGAAAAATATGTTACCTCTCTATTATCACAAAAATGCAAAATCAAAATTTATTCAAACATGTTTAGGTACATGAGGGAAGCTTTGACTGTTTCAGGCTCTGGTTATGAACTTTCAGGGGATTGCATGTCCATTTATATGCAACTTTAGCTGCATGCAATAGAATTTGACATGTTTTTATTATGGGTATGTGATGCTGAATTTGGAAATTTTTTGCGTATACAACGACTTTTATTTCGTTGCAACTCCAGGAATTTATACTCCTGTAGAACTCTTTTATTTTTCTGGGGGCACGTTGGTATGGCGTATGGAATTGCTTCTGCATTTATGGAAGCTTTTTTATTTTATTTTGCAATTAATATAAGAGAAGGCATCATGTGCATCTGATGCTCGATTTGGAGAAAATGTGAGCATTTGTGTTTCTGGCTGAGATGCCTCACTCATTAGCAAGGGGACTTTTGGTCATTAAAATGATTAAGGTAAAAAAGAAAAGAAGATTATTGTCTACACTAATGAGGGCCTTCCCCTTATCAACAACAGCTCCACCTTGCCTGCTTGCACCAGTCTCAGCAGGAGAAATTTACCGAAAGGCTAGCTAGACCCATAGAGCTTCTTAAAGAAGTTTGTACTGAAAATGCTATCCTTTATCTAGGGGCGGCAGGACTTGTAAGAGTCATTGGAATTCTGTACTTTAGGACAAGTGGAACTAGGATTTTGCTCTCAGGAATTAGCACATGAAATGATTTTTGCCACCAGCTAGTTCATGGATTGGAATCCCCTCAGAACTGTCCGCAGGTGAGTTAGCAGTTCTTATCCTTGGGATGGGGGTGGGGATGCATAACCATCCGGATATATCCGATTCGATCTGCAACTTTATCCGAGATGGATGCGTACATGGTAGCCAAAATTTAAAACCGGCCAGATACAGATACGGTTTCATTTTTTTTGGTCAAATATGGTTTTGGATACGGATATCAATTCAAATTTCGGGTACGGTCCGAATATCCAAATCCGAATATGGACTCGTATATGGATTTGGATATAGTTCGGATATGGATACTGATACAAATTCGGTTATGGATTTTAGATTCAGATACAGATATGGATATTGCTAAATTTTTAGCTTTCTTGATAACAATTGCATGCGCTTTAGGATGTGGTCATATGTTTTTGGGTTATTGGATTGCGCTTTTATTGAGGTAATCAATTGTGCATTTTGGACTTATGGTCAAATTTATGTTATACTATAATTAGATTTAATTTATTAATGATAATTCATAAAAACTTTGCCTTTGAGTAATGCATTTGGAGTATGACCATTTGAGAATTGAATTATTTTTGTTGTATTAGACATTGTACATTACTTTTAAAAATTGATAGCAGGCAATATATGGCAACTTTTAAGTCTTATTTTATTTCTATGGCATAAATTAGAGCAATTACTATATGAATCTTCTCTTATATCCAATCCATACCCGTTTGCTAAGTATCTGATTCATATCTGCAACCGTACGATATCAGTCTCTATTATGTGAATCGTAGGCGTTTCGGTTTTTTGCGAATGTGGTTATGATTTTTTCTTACCAAAGGAAAACCATATCCGTATCTGTTTTTAGAAAGGCGATATGGATATAGTAAGTTTTATATCCGTATTGTATTTGAGCTGTTTACACCCCTAAATGGAAGGGAAAATTACCCATTTGCTCCACTACCTTCCCAAGTAAAGGAGCTGCCTGCTTGCATGCAGGCAGTTCTGAGGGGATCCCAACCCCTAGTTCACATAAGCGCGTCATCTATCTAGATATGAGTTGATGTTGGGCTGTAACAAGCTTTTAAATAATATTATTTAGTTTTTAACTATAGAAAAATACTTAGACCAAAATTTGAAACTAAGGCCATAGTCAAATCTTGA